CGCGGTCACTGACCCCAGGGGGACTGCACAGGGGTAGCCGCTGGCACACGCTTAAAAACTGATCGCAGTGACAGTCTGTCACTGCGATCAGAAGCTGCAGATCGCGGTCACCGGCCACAGGGGGGGTTGCCTGGGGGGCCAGGCAACCCCCCCGACCGCGATCTGCAGCGGGAGATTAGAGCCGGCCACGTGGGCGGCCATTAAAGCGAGGGCGTACTATTACGCCCGCCGGCGTTTAGAGCCGGCTCCTGCAGGGCGTAATAGTACGCCCTGCGGATTTAAGGGGTTAAGGACGGAGCCAAATGTACACGTTGTGAACGAAACCAAATGTAAACAAAACCTGGCATTTGCGCTACATGTCTGTCCAACCGTAATTCACCTCTTTCATTTTAAATGCACCCACCCTTATTAGATATCATTTTATTCAGGGGAAACAGGGCTTTCATTTAATATCAAATATTTAGCTGTGAAACATAATTTGATATGAAACAAATTGGAGAAAATAAGATTTATTTTTATTTTTTTAGTTCGTGACATTTTAACTATCAATACTGTTTGCTTTTACTGCAATAAAATACACATATTTGTATTCAGCAAAGTCTCACGTGTAAAACAGTACCCCCTATGTACAGGTTTTATGGCATTTTGGGAAGTTACAGGGTCAAATATAGCACGTTACATTTGAAATTTAAATTTGCCAGATTGGTTACGTTGCCTTTGGGACTTTATAGTAGCCCAGGAATGACATTTACATCCATAATGGCATACCATTTGCAATAGTAGACAACCCAATGTATTGCAAATGGGGTATGTCCAATCTTTTTTAGTAGCCATTTGGTCACAAACACTGGCCAAAGCTAGCGTTAGTATTTGTGTGAAAAATGCAAAAAATGACAATTTTGGCCAGTGTTTGTGACTAAGTGGCTACTAAAAAATACTGGACATACCCTGTTTGCAATACCTTGGGTTGTCTACTATTGCAAATGGTAAGTCATCATAGGGGTAATTTTCATTCTTGGGCTACCATAGGGTCTCAAAGGCACCGTAACCAATCTGGCGAATTTTAATGTGAAAAAAATGAAACACAAGCCTTATATTTGACGCTGTAACTTTTGAAAACACCATAAAACCTGTACATGAGGGGTACTGTTGTACTCCGGAGACTTCGCTGAATACAAATATTTGTGTTTCAAAACAGCAACAAGTATCACAGCAATAATATTGTCTGTGTAAGTGCTGTTTGTGCATGAAAAATGCAAAAAAGTCACTTTTACTGGCGATATCATCGTTGTAATACATTTAACTGTTTTGAAACACTAATATTTGTGTTCAGCGAAGTCTCCCGAGTAGAACAGTACCCCCCATGTACAGGTTTTATGGTGTCTTGGAAAGTTATAGGTTTAAATATAGTGCTAGCAAATTAAATTCCCTTTACTTTCGGAATGGGTTGTCAGACAGGTCCCGCTAATTGTAATTAATTAAGATACCTAATTATGTAAAAATATTACATAAATATATATGTAGAATTAATATATGTATATATATATATGTATGTGAATCTATATGTGTGTATATATATATATAATTTTAAAAAAATATTTTTATTTATATATAGGTATATATAGTGATATATACGTATATATTTATGTATGTAGATATATATATATTATTTCGTTTTATGTGTATTTTGATATAAATATATATATATATATATATATATATATATATTAATATCAGAATACAGTTACAACGAAATAACACACATCTATACATTTTTAAATTATTTTTTAAATTATTTTTTTATTTTTTAACATATTTACATATTTTTTTATATTATATATAAATATATATAATTATATATATACTTAATCAGTATCAGTCTACGTGTAATTTGATATTAATATATATATATATATATATATATATATATATATATATATATATATATATATATATATATATATATATATAAAAATATAATTATATAAATATATTAATAGTAAAATACACCTATACGGTGTACGTGTGTGTATGTATATGTGTATGTATATATATATATATATATATATATATATATATATATATATATATTTAGATCATATATATATAATATATATATGACCTAAGTATTTTTTATTTTTTTTACACTTAATTAATTTTATTTTATTTCATTTCCAGCCAGCAGGGGGACCACCTGTCATTTCAGGCAGCCCCCCTGCTGGCAATACTGAAGCCAGCTATAACGGATATGTGATTGTGGGGTCCTCGCAAAGACCCCACTCTCACATGGCCGGGGGGCTTCCAGGGGTCGGACGTGCCACCCGGTAAGTAATGAAAGACCGGAGGGCGTACAATTACGCCCGGCGGCGTTTAGAGCCGCCTAAAATAGGGCGTAATTGTACGCCCTCCGGTCTTAAGGGGTTAAATAGAGAAAAGACAACAGAAAATGAGAGTATTAATGATTAAACACTGCATGAAAAAATTGGTAGTCACACAGGTAGCAGTTACACTTTTTATGAAAATAAAACAATCTTATTAGTAAGATTTTTCACTGAACACTGGATTTTCTCTGGATGGATAAATCTGGTGAAAATGGATAAATTTCAACCTAACCAAATCTGCAATTGTCCAACCAATTCGAGTACTCTGACAGGCAAGTCACGAATATTCACAGGAAGTCTCTAGAGAAGTGAGGCTTGTCTGTTAGAGCACTCTTATTGGTTGTCTTGCAAGCCAACCAAGCAGAGCACTCTAATGAGAATTAAAAGTATGTGAAACCTTTATAAAGGCTTTTCCCATCTTCTCATTCGGCAGGGAGTCTTCAAGAGGCAGTTTTGACTTTGGGCTTTTTGTGATCGAGTTTATAATTGATTTTTTATTATTATTTTCAAGAGTTTTACTATTGGATTATGCTTTTTATTAATACTTTTTGAGGATGAAGAAAAGAAGATTTACAAGAATAAAAACTTTAAATAGTTAGTATAAGTTATTCTTTATAAGTATTAGTTTTGATGCCCCCTTGCTATTATTAGGGTGAAAGGGTAGTCAGGTGACACTGGTGTGTCCATTGCATAATTACTTTGAGCCGCCTGCCAGCATCCACTTTTTTGGGTTGTGCACCCTGCCTCCGCCCCTGCCGGTTCGGGTTAGTGTCGCCCTTTTGCTGCGACTGCCGATGGGATTGCTCTGGTGTTTTTCCCCATCTGGCGTTTTGTGGGGTACCTTGTGGCGGAGTCCGGGGGATCTCCTCAGGCTCTGAGCCCCTCATGTGAGCTTCTAGGGACTCCCAGAAAGCAGCGAATATACTGTTTAGATGCTTCTCAGTTTCCCGCCATATGTTAGATGTGTCGGCTTCCGCCATCTTGGTGGTCGCAGGGACGATAGCTTTTGGGCTCCACGGAGCCTGTATTAGCCCATTGCTTTGCCCAGGAGTCATTTGGGGGTGGACCGGGATGACCCCCACCGGTCCAAAGGGGGGGGAACGAGGGCTTGCAGTCGGCTTTCCGGCGTGGCCTTGCTGCTGGGGATCGGCCGCCTCCCCTGCGCCTGCCACGCTTGTAGGCCTCATTGTGTGCTGTGCTCGGTTCGTTGCTTGAGAGGTACCGATCTCTGCACCTCGGTGTCCTCTCTCGAGTGGTAGCTTCGGGATCACGATTGAGTGCCTGTACGGTGGTTAATTCCAGCGTTAAGTGCCCGGTTCAGCAGGAGCTGCCGAGATGAGCGTCTGCACAGCTCTGCAGTTAGGCCCCGCCCCCCCGGCACCACCATTCTTAAACAAATGATTGTTGAAAGCCACCTTACAGAGTCCAGAAACACAAACACATTTCTCTGTCTGCAAAAAATGGTGTAAGATTTGTTCTGCACTGAAATAAGTTAAACACCCAACAACCATAAGGAATATGAAAGTGTCCAAAGGGCAACTTTAAACCATAGACTGAAAGGAGAATGTTGGAGTTTGGATGTATAAATATATTTGATGCTCTGATATATCTGATAGTTAAATAAGACAGGTGTTTATGGGTGTCTATTTGACATAATTCATATGTGGTGAATCTAACTCTGAGTCGGACAACTGCCAGGAGTCCCACCCTACTCACTAACAGCTAGGTACACCTGCTTCAACAAGACCTTTTTTAGATACTGCCCAATTGAAACATACATCCATTCGGACACGATTCCAGAGCAGGCGCGCAGCACCAGGTGCAGATATATTACAAGACGTGGCCAGAAGGGACTTACCTTCTGGGGCAAGAGGGAAGCCACCCCGTCTTCATAGATGATACCGATCTTTAATCTGTCCTCTAGGCTTTTGCCTAGAGGGTTATCTTTTGTGCCCACAGCACGCCCCAACCCCCTCGATTGGGAGGTTTAATTATATAAAAAAAAAATTAGTTTTTTAAGAACAAACCACTAGAGACCGGTGACACTAACCAACAGTTTAGAAAAAAAAAAGTGTACCTTTGACCCTATGCCTAATCAGACCTCTATTAAGACCTTCTTGCACTGTGTACACAAAGAAACCTCAGATTGTTTAAGAGTGAAACATCAATATCACTGTAACTGTATGAAGAAAGTCTGAGCAATCATTAAGTGACTGTCTACAGATAATGGTATTGTAATCCAAAAGTATTCGGACTACCGCTCTGAGATCCTACAACAACTCTCAGAACATCAAACCTATATGAAACTAGCACATGACCCTACTGGTGATGTAATCCAACAGATAAGCAGTTGTCTACAACGAGGTTTGGACTCCAATTTCATTTCCATAAAATGACATCAATACTTGCAACAGACCACACTGAGAACCCCGGTAATCTATACATTACCTAATGTTCATAAGATTAAGGATAGGCTTCCGGGGAGACAGATTGTGTAAGTGAAGCTTGTGAATCTTGGAACCTCTGGCCAAATGGCTAGACTTTCTTTTTAAAGACACCATCGAGCAGCTCCCCACATGTATTAAGGATACCTCAAGTTTCATTCAACAGCTATTCAGAATGTCTTTACCTCAGGAACCGGTGGTTCTGGTTACATGTGATGTGAAGAGCCTGTATACGGTTACACCGCTTCAAGATAGGATTCAAGCTATGAGACAGATACTTTCTGATTCCACCTACTATGTAGGACCCCAGGTAGAGTTCACTCTAGAGCTCCTGGAGATTGTGCTTTCACAGAACTATTTCCGGTTCGAAACCAGTTGGTTCAGACAGATTGCAGGTACATCCATGGGTGCGGCAATGGCACCCGTGTATGCCAATGGCTACATGTACATGTTTGAAACCTTGCACATTTGGGAACCTTATAAGGACAACATCCTGATGTACATCTGCTATATCGATGACATCTTTATGATAGTCAAGGGAGACATTGTAGATGTTGAAGAGATGATTCAGTCCAGTAACTGTGCACTTCTTACAGTGAACTAACTGTAACGATGGATCTTTCTTCTGTGGATTTTTTGGACCTACAGGTCTAAATCCATTGATCATAATACTTTGCTCCAGGCGAATAGTTTTCACCCTAAAGCCTTGAAAGCCTCATTACCTTACTAGCAGCTCCCAAGAGTTCTTAGGAACAACTCCGATGCAAGAAATGCTGGGACAAATTCCGACACCGTGGATACAACAAATCTATACTACGTAAAGCACTGTACAAATGTATGGATACAGCAGATACTGCTAATAAAAACAAAGAGGCTAAGAGGATGGTATTTCTACACTACAGTGTAGAATATATTCCAGTTGCTGTGATATATTTTAGATATATTCTTACTTCATATCTATAGTTCAGTTCAGATCTAGCTATTATGCGTATACACTAAAGGAGCACCTTGTATAAGATTTGTCTCTGATTCAATGACTAACAAGATTTCTATTTCGTTACAGACAATAGCAAATACACAAAAGAAGCAACTACATAAACAGCAAAGCATTTTCTGAATGATATGATATATATTCAAATCCAGAATGTAAACACTGCTATACCGTTCTATTGTGCTTTTAGGGTATAACAGCCTATATAGACCATCTAATGTCACATACGATCCTATTATAATGATCTATGCAGGAATGATAACTTATTCATTTTAAGATGTTTAAAATAATAATTGCAAGTTGATATCTCATCAAAATATTGAAAAATATACATTATCACCAGTTTAGTTCGTTTTGTTTATTGTATATATTTTACATGCAAAAATATGGACTTTAATTTATGTATGTAACATAATTCTCAATCAATGCCATGAATTTAGTTTTCTTTAAAAAAAAATTTTTTATATGTCTGTTATATAAAACATTTATTTATATGTGTAAGTATATATATTTTCATTTTATTTGTACAACGTGTGCATTACAGTTAAAGCAATGTATTGAATGTATCATGATGTTTCCATCTTTCAATTAACCAATTGGGGACAGAGAGAGCGATATATAAATATCCCCATATGGTAATGAATGCAGATGTCTCTAAAGAAGTAGGGCTATTCCCTACGAAACGCGTCAGACAAGTCTAAAGCTACAGATTGTCCACACAACGACGATAGACAGGAGGTGTTAGCGCAGCAGCCCGGCGATTTCTTGGATCACTGGCGTTTGAACCGTAACATCTGATCAGCAGTGCAGCTCCCCCGAAGTGAGGCTCGAGGTGGAACGCACTGTGGAATGCAGACCGACCTCACCGGTCACCAGATTTCAGCTACCGTATCAAGATCACAATCTGAATCCATCCGTGCCGGTGCTTAAGGTTACTGTGCATACTTTACCCTCTTAATCTTTATTGCTCTCTGTGTGGACTTATTTTTTATATATTTTTATGCTACAATAAATCTTTGTTACTTTTTAACCGATTTTTTGGCGATACATTCTATTCATTGCTTAGGGCAGCCAGCTCTATGTACTGGCTCTTTGCCCAACTATAGACACTTTTTTATCACATTGTGTAAGGTGATAGTTTATTCACTTATTTCTAAACCTTTGCAGCTTTCATCTAAGTTAGTGAGTGAAAGTATATAATTTGGCACATATTACTCTTTTTCCAGAATTCTGTTTCCTGGGTTATGAGGTAATTCTGCCATACATATATGGTTTGTGTATATACACACACATTTGAATTTTCATATTAATTTTATTTCTTGTAACAATAATATCCTGCAAAATAATATTTTAATATCAATTGTACAGTTTTGTCTGGTTCTTACCTGAGATATATGTATTCTGATGATATGATATAGTCTGGGTATTCAGGATCCACCCTGGGAGACAGGTCCTGTCTTTACCACTGCTGTTTCCTTCACCTTAACTAGGTTTATGGGAATATGATAATGACATTTGATTGAAGGTCATGGTGACCCACCCTTGGGGATAGGATTTCAAATTATATTGTATCCAGTACTTTTGTTTGGTGGCTGTAATAGAATATGTAGGGATCATGCTTGATAAACAAGATGATTGTACCTTAACATTGATTGATCAATGTATTATATTTTTCAATTTGTGGATGGATGTTCAGCCTGTAGAGTGTGTATAGGTGAGCTATGGGTCTTTCTGCCTGGGTCCTAAACTCACTCTGCATTGTGTTCAAGTTTAATTTTGTTTTGTTTGTAATCCCATCTTTTTATTTAAGTGTCTTGTTGGGCAGAGTATGGGTTCCTATTTGGAAGCAGCTTTATAAGTTGTTGTATATGCTTTTTAGAATAATACCGGGTACTGCTGGAGTCTAAGATATGAGTGGTAGCTAATAAGTCCTCATTATACAATATGTCATGGACAAAGGATAAGAATTGCTAATGTGAAGTTATTTTGTTTTTAACCCCTTCAGGACGGAGTCAATAGTACACGCCCAATTGCAGGAGATGGCACAGAAAGGAGGCAAAAACCAAAAGCGCAGTACAGATTAAGGGGAAATCCAAAGGCAAGGTCAGACGAGAAGCAGAAGTCAGGGCTGGCAGCGGAGTAGCATAGTTGGTAAAGCAGACAGAGGTCAGAGGCCAGGAAATCAGTCAGTAGCGAAGCAGAGATCCGGCAGTAAACACCAAACAGGCAAAATGACCAGATATTAGGTTTCAGGCAGGGCTGGCTTTTACAGCATGTTAATTAGATGCAGCTGACCCGAATTGGAAAAGGGCTGCAGGTGGGTCAGCTCTGCTTAATCCAGGCAAGGGGGTTCAGTAAGCAGAATAATGCAGGCAGATACTGAAGCCCCCTGGTGCACAGTACGGCAGAGAACCTGATTGGGATGCTGGAGCTGTGAGTTCAAACCCAGCCAGGTCTCTTAAAGGGGCAGCCACACCTTGCTGTCAGCAGGGCTCCGGTTGTGCCGTGACAACATGCAGCCCCTGTATGATTGTCTCACCAATGAAAACAAACCATTTAAATTAACAGATGTGGCAGAAAAATAATCTGCAGCAGGAGGAGGAGACCAGGAAAGGCTTGGAGAAGCAGATCCTCACGTTGCAGGCACTGTTTGCGGATGCTAAGAAAAGGGTCAACGATAATAACACTTATTTTAGTTGTATTAATGTTATACAAACAGAAGGCTGCATATGCACTAGAATTTACTGAATGTACACAACAGATAAATAAATAACAAATTCAACATGGGGAGTAGGGCAAGACATTAGATGTGTTTACTGTGATATACTTTGATCATCTTGTCTTTATTTATTTTTGTATAGATGTTGTGTAGTAGTTGTGGTGCCAGGAGGAAGTAGAAGAGTTAGAGTAATCATTGTATAAAACTGTTTCCTAATGGTAGGTTTGACAAGCATCTTACCTAGACAACACTGACCACCAATCAACTCCGCTATGAAAGCTGGACACTCTCTCTTTTTACACTGAGCAAAATCTAGTGGTGCAGGGTCATCTGATAATCTCAGTCAATGAGCTGTCCCAGGCTGGCCCAGCAGAGCGTGGCTCTGAAAAAAAAAAAAAAAAACTAATGGAAGCTCCATGCATATGTTATTATCCTAATACTTAGCAATTACTTACCACAAGGGCTCCTGTTTACTTCTTCTAGTTTATTACTACTTATACTGCACACATAGAGAAAGTGACCAGAGGCCCTTGTGTATCTTGTCAAACTATTAACAAACAGTTTAACAAATACTTACATCAGTGGGGTGCATGGGTGCTCCAGACACCATAGTCACAACAGCACAGTGCACTGGTTGTGTTGTCAGGAGTAGTGCACTGCACTCCCTTATGCACCCTTAAGTTAGTAATACAGTTAAAGTATTCATAGTTAATTAATTTGCTAATTAAAGGTTTGCCAAGCAACTTACCTAGGGTCCGCTCTGCCGGGCCACCAATCATGATTAACTCCTCTGGTCTAGTGGTGCAGGGTTTAGCTCATTGGATGAGAGATCATCTGATATGCTCAGTTATGAGCTAGCCCTGCACAGCAGGACTTGGCTTTGAAGAGCAAATGGAAGCTTCATACAGGAGTTCTCTGCAGCCTTATACTTACTTTCCAATCACCAGGATTCTTCAAGGGTATGGGCTACTTCTTCTAGTGTACTACCAATACAGCAGACAAGTGACTGGTGCCCTTTTGTACCTTGGCATACCATTAGCAAAATAAATTGTGCTGGTGTAAAGTAGCATGCAATGTCATCCTGTCTAAATAGTCAGCAGTGAAGGTTTCTGGAGGTCACTGTGGCATTATTACTATCAACTTGGATTCCAGGTAGGTGCCTAGGCCTCTTACCAGTCCCTTGTGAGAGGACCTTATCTGCTCCAGGAAAGGGTTCCCATTTAATTTCCAGGCCCAAGGCAACATTGCTTGTTACTATGCTTATGTCAATTCAATCTCTGGTTCAACCTCTCCTCTTGGTGCATCATCCAGAACGGGTTGTCACTGAGCCTGGGAGCAAGTCAACAGGATACTGGTCTCCGTAGGGGAATCTCTGTGGAGTGAGGCTGAAGGGGCAATAGTCAGGATCAGGTTGCAGGTTATGGCCAGGGTCTGGGCAAGCCAGACAGTCACTTCACTGCCAGTACAGCTCAAAAAATAAAAAAAAATAAACTCTGATTGCATGTATGCACTAAAGAATGGAGACTGGAGTACAACTTAAGTTCCATACACACAGTAGAATTGTTATATTAATCAAATTAATAAATTTAACCCCTTAAGGACCAAACTTCTGGAATAAAAGGGAATCATGACATGTCACAAATGTCATGTGTCCTTAAGGGGTTAAACAAATCAAAATTTGTAACAGTTACTATTACCAATTTAACTCAACTCATTCACTGCATTGCACTGTTACATAATTGCAGTTAATCTTTGCAGTTACTGATTAAATTACACTAGTATGTAACAAAATCATAGAAAAAGACAATGTGCAGCTTAGTTAATCTTTGCAGTTACTGATTAAATTACACTAGTATGTAACAAAATCATAGAAAAAGACAATGTGCAGCTTAGTTTGTAAAGTCCACTCATGAAACCCTATTAAAGAGCATGTAAGAGGCTACCACACAGTACTTGAGCAGGGTGTATCTTTCAACAGCTCTAATTATGGAAAATGTCCCTATTTTAGATTTATATACTGTTTGCTCACCTTCACTAAAAAAAAACAAAAAAAAAAACAAAAAAAAACAGGTAACCTACATCATTGGTCAAGGTCCTTGTAGAGCTGATCTCTCCCTTTTGTGTGTTGAAAGTACGGATTGCATCATCTGAATGAACAAACAAATGGGTCATGGAAGAATATAGTGAAGTGCACCATTAGTTTATTTGGACTTTCTTCCATTGTACTGGTCAGAGATTCAGAATTTAAATAAAGCTGAGCTGATTTTCATCTGAATTGAGATTCTACCAAAAACAAAATGCCCAAGTCTAATTAGCAAGTATACCCACACGTATATCCATTCCATTAGATTAGATTAACCCACATGTCACCCTGCTTCAGCTTCCTTACTATTTAATAAAAGGGATTGTTGTACTCCACTTTGATTAATCACTCAACTATTTTTTAACTATACATTCAGTAATTATTAACTCCCTTAACCAGAGGCTTAACTAAAAACCACAGGGCCCGGTGCGAAAATTGCCCCCTCCTTATGTTTAACCCATCCAGCTCCTCTATATGTCATGTTCATGCCCCCAAGTCTTTCCATGTGTCTCATTCACGCCCCACAGGCGAGTGTGGCATGGTTGGGAGCTCCAACTCTGACTCCCACCTCTCCTCCCACGCAGCTTGGCGGTTGCTGGGAACAAGTGACCCCGGCCATCACTTCCTCCCAGCTCTGACCGCATCACAGTGGGCCCAGTCATGCTGTTAAAGTGCCACAGCGCTCACCGGGCCAATGGAATTACTTTGCCATTGTGTTGCCCTAACATCATGGACTACCCGATGGGCCCCTAAATGTGCAGCCCAGGTGGTTGTACCATATGGTCCAGCTCCACGCGGTACTGTGGCTGTGCTCCCTGGAGTGACAGGCCTGGCCACAGCTGTGATCCCTGCACCCACAGTTGTTCCGCCACTGCCCTCAACCACTTTACATTGACTAAATGGATACAAGAGGAGATGAAAAGGTGACCTCTCATATATAAGGGCATGACAGACCCCTACTAATAAAAAATAAAAATAAAAAAAAATTAGAAGCTGCCATAGGTGAAGGCATAGGGATAACTATTGAGTAGGCTCCATCAGTTCATAGCAGTACCAGGAGAGACTGGTTAGTTGCTTTTGATGCATGCCTTTCTTACCGTCTTGTTCATCCCTATGGTATCAGTGACCACCACAGCTATTCTTTAGGGTAAGGATTTTCCCTTTAACTACTGGACTGACAAATTTCATACCCTTTCACTGTTCTTTCTTCCATTCAAGTGTTGCTTCCTCTGTCTTCTTCTTCCAGGCTGATGTCATGGCCTTTGCCCACTCCTTTTAGACAGGAATTGCCCCTCTACCTGCTGTAGACATTGGACTTGCTTCCAACCTTGTTGCCATAAGTTATTGTTACCAATGCAGATTAATAATTTAATGTTTTATAATGTCTCCTGCCATTGTTTTTTTTTATTTTTTTTATTTCTGTTTCATATGGTATATGGTCTGTTATGTGCTTAGAGTTTTTATTTACTAGCTAACATGTTTCTCATGGGCAGAGTAGGGATTTAACTGTAGTTAACTTTTTGTATCAAACAAGAGGCAGGTGTTAAGTTTGGATAGTTAGCAGCAGCTGTTTAACAGTAGCAACAGAGTTGGAAACTAGTTACTTAGTGGCAGTTA